AAAAAAAAAATGTTTCATGAAACGTTTACAATCATTTAAGCCTTTTTACTTAGCTTGCAGTTACTGGTTAACGGTTAACATTACTTACCTGCGTATATAAAAATGTCAAATACGCGCCATTTTAAAGACGCCGTGTTACAACATCTCTCTTCGGTTTGAACAAAAACCTGCACGCATGCACACAACGTTAAACACAATTGTTATCATTTTCAGGAGACCTACTCAACTTTTCCGTATTCCATGATGACCATATTTGTGATGACGCTCGGTGAACTCAACTACGCCGACACGTTTATGCCGTGGGGTAAACTGGAATACGCTACGCTGACGAATATCCTGTTCTTTTTGTTTGTGCTGGGAATGCCCATCATTCTTATGAACATGTTGGTAAGTAACATTCCTAGATGATGATCTCAAATTTCGAGTCTATGGAGGACAAAATTCATTAATTGTGCCCATTTAAACCCTCTGTACCCCAGTATGATGTACAATGTACCTCTAAATACCAGAAAATCAGAATCCGTTAAGTGTTCAAAAACTCATTTATTTAAAATGATCTTCGCAGCGCAGACCATTTAAGGATTTAGCTTTTATATCTATATTTAAGGAAGTTTTTAATATTAATGTAATTCGACTATTCGCGTCTCTATTTTAGGTTTTTAACTTTCATTTAATTGTACATTTGTATTCATAGTAGTTCATTTTTCATTAGGTTTGTAATTTTATTTTCCGAGGGCCACAAACTTTAGCTATTAAGTGCTTACCCACCTTAAATCAAGTCTCTATAAATCACAAATGGCTATATATTGTTATGTTTTTACGTCCAAAACAACGGAAGCTACAACTATAAATATTTTTGTGGCAGCTACGTACTACGCCACTACAGGTCAAAATATCGCGAGAGCTATGGGAATCATTTACATATTCATTCGTGAACATGTATTCTATTTTTTCATGTGATTTCCAGGTCGGTCTCGCAGTGGGAGATATTGACAAGATTCAAGTCAATGCGTTGATTGATCGCTACGTCATGCAGGTAGAACAACCCAGACTACAATGGGAACACGATTCCTCAGAATACCCAGAGCAATTAATAAGCACTTATAATGACTGACCCGGTGAGTTTTGTTTCCCCGAGACCCTCAATGCTTCGCGCGGGACAGTCATAAAGTATTTTGTTATGCTCGCTTCCAACTGAAAACTGGAAAAAAATATTTGCTTGACGTCGGCTGGCTCACAAATTTTGCCGCGGCTTCAAGGTGAACGACCTGATCACTAAGCTCGATTTCCGCCGCTTTCTCGAGTGCGGTCTACGTTCCTCGAGGAGCGCGGACTCCTTTCCCGAACAGCGGCTGGTAATCGAGCCTACCTGATCACGTGCGAGTCGAATGTTCAAGTTGTTTTTCTCTAAGGAGTTAGTCAGTTGTATTCGCCCTTTAGGGAGTCAGGGAGTTTTGACCCATGACATGTGACACATTCTACAACAATCGGAAAACGTATTTGAATTTGGAGGTATAACAAATTTATTTTAACCATAGACAAATCTAATTTTAACAAATAAGTACAGACAGTAAGTTGAATAATGGTTCTTTATTTTCTCTCTTTTCACCTTTCAGGTCGAGATGGTTTTAGATATGGAGGAAACAGTCCCTGAATCTTTTGCTAAGAGAGCAAATGTTACAAAACACGTGGAATATCCAAACAGGGATGCATCCAAGGTATTTTAATTCACCTTTATTCAAGTTCTTATTTAACTTCTTTAATACACTTCTTCATGTTCGCAATTAGTTGGTCACCCCTTAATAAAAATAGGACGGTCCACTGACTTAGATTTGGAGATGTTCGCTTCTGATCTGTGACTGAACTTCTAGCTAGAGGCGAGGGCTCTCTCCACTGCGCCATCCTTACTCCCCTGCTCTTCTGGTGTCCTAAGCATGCATGTATAGTAGTTTTGAACCGTTCGTTTAGCTGTATTATCCTGTATTATTCAATCACCTTCTGCAAACATAAGCTATTTGCGCTGGCCACTAAAGAGAAAATGTTAGTCTTATGATGTTATTTTTCATATCAGCTCTATGAGCAGCTTTTAGGCTTTAGTCGACCAACAGAAGAAGAAGAGGAAGATTATTCAACCCCAGAGCTCCCTCCTGAATTTCAGCCGCTCCTGGACAGAATGGAAGAGCAGGAGAACAGGTACGAGTGTGTGCTATGCACCGTGAAGAACTCATTAGGGAGATGTGTACGTTATTGATTTATTTTAGGCCAGTGAGACTTGAGACCCCGGGGTATACTCTACAACGTCTTATCGGGGAGGCTCCGCTTTGAGGTCCAACCCCTTACCCTTTTGTATAGCAATTACAAAGAAAAGGTACTCCTTCCGTGTACCTTTAATTTAGAAAAAGCACCCATTTGGCCCCCCACATACTTTCATAACTGGCCCGTATCGTGAATAAATTGCCAAAAAAAGGAAATCTTTTTGTCATTTTCATGTAGTGCCTAATAAATGAAATGACACAGCCATGAGATGCGTCTATTCGAAATATTTTAATTAAAGGCCCTTTAGAATAACTAATTGACAGATTTCCCTACCCTTTCATATACCTCAACTTGTGAAATCTCTACCCATTGATGAACCTGAGGCCTGAAAAATGTACCCCTTTCGGACGGGAGCCTCCCCGTATAGGCCATTATAGGGAGTATCCCCCGGGGACTTGAGACTGCCGTTGATCAGTCGCTTTTCACGTAATGTAACAGACAAGTCTTTTTCAACTAGTATGGTTTATTGAAAAAGTAATGGTGAAACTCCAATCAGTGTCCTGTCTTTTCGAGTCCAAAAAATTTGATGACGCTTCACAGGATTACAAAATCCTTGAGCATTTCGTCTGAATACGTTGGTCAAAAAGCTATCATTAAAATTCCATTGCCGCGGCTTGCAATTGGACGTTCGAGACTTACACAACTGAGCAAAAGCTGTGAAAATAAAACCTCACACATTCTCGTCCCCAGAGTCCTTTATGTGTCTCTTAGTCGATAGGGCCTTGTCACGAGACAGAGCGCTTCGTTTCTCGTGCCAAGACCCCACCGGCTAAGAGACGCGGAATGGGCCACGGAGACGAGAATGAACTCAATTCCAATATGCGCATATACTTCTTGAATTTAACTACAACCTTATTATTTCTGATAAACGAGTATTAAAAAATCTTGGGAGACAGCTAGATTAAAGTTACTCAGAACAACTTAAAACTATTCGAGAAGAGAAGACTGACATATATCTGGACGGGAAAAATGGTTGGCAATAGGGCTTAGGTGAATAAAAGATAGATTTAAATAAAACCTAACAGTAGCAGGCTAAATAATAACCTTTTTTGCGGTTCACCTTGCAGAATCAAAGGAATATATGAGCTGTTGGGAGAACAAGCAAAACTTCTCCAAACGATTAGTCAACAGAAACAAGCTGAGGAGGAGACTCGACAGGCACCAACTAAAATCTTAGGAAAAATGTCAAGTAAACTGATCCCCAGTTTCAAGTTTTAGACTGTTCAAGATCAGAGTCTCCTTTTAAACTTCATGGAGAGTTTTTCAATCGAGTATTATCCCATAGTTTTTGTCCTTTCATTTTGTGAATGCACAACTTTTTTCCCAGGCCTTTGCCCTTTTACCAATTTCTAAGTTAAAAGCCTCGTATGCACCATCTAGGCTAGCTAGCAAGCTTAAAGGATGTTTTCATAAGACTTTGTTGCTAAGAAACCCCTACCCTAACCCCTAAGGTGATATATATCGTTACAGCGATAAGCCGAAGATCGAAAGAAGCTGATCTTTCTTGAATTAAACAGTACAGATCTTCAGCTGAACAGTTTTAGATTTCTGATCCAAGCCACCACTGTGTGGTAGAATGAGGTTTCTCCGTGCACTTGTGCTGCGGGTTGATAACGTTATAAAAACCAAAATTATCTTCGTTCGTTACTGCACCAGACCCCGGATTCCATTGACAGCGGTTTAGTCCGCTCCAGTATGAGTCTGTGTGCATATGCTGGTTATCTCTTTGAACCAGCATTCCCGTGCAATTGGAGCAGCTTATTCCACGGACTGATATGAACTCGTATCTCCTGCATTGGTCTTGATTGACAAATGTGAGAATATCTGTTTCTAGAAGAGACGCGCGTGCGTAGTCAGTGAAATTGAGGCCTGATGGGAAGTCGCATGTCACGCGCCAGTGCGTCGAGTTGTCCCGGATGTTAACCATAGTTTGGTTAGACAATCGAAAGTTGCTCCAGTTAAAATTTCTCTCGTTTTGGGTAAAGTTGTAATAAAATGGTTGATTTCGATAAAGTGCCTTGTTTGCCAGAGAGAACGATTCAATCAGAGTCCAGGCTTTTCCAGCTTCAGAATCAAAGTCACAATAAGTCTGAATAGTGTCATTAAGGCCATAAACACCCGAGAGAGATCCTGGTTTCAACTTTATGTAAGCTTGGCACGAGCTTACTTCTGGGTGAAATATCTCGCATCGCTTTCCCTGGTAGTGATTTGGGCATGCGCAGGCGTACCGTTCTCTGACGTCATCACATTTTTCCATGCATGTGCCGCCATGAAGGCAAGGTTTTGATTTACAGCAACCATTTAAACAGCTGTGAGCTCCCTAGAAATGATCATAGCATAATTGCCAAAATCAGGATAAAATATCGAGGATGAGGATGAGCCCTACATTTCCCTATTATAGGCTCATTGGAGTGCTACCGTATTTTCACCCCATTTCAGGTGTGACTCAGAAGGTATTGCTGGTTTTCAGTGTCACTCAATTCAAAATAGATCAAAATAAAAATCAAAACCGGTCAATTGATAAAGTCCAGAATCTGGGAAATGAAAGAAGGTAAATATGCAAAGCCTCTCGCCAAAATTCTGGTCACAGCAATTTTTCTTATGCGAGATATGCGGAGAAATTTT